AGGAGCTGTTAGGGGGTTGAAATATGGTACAAACTCCAACATTCTCCCTTTGCTGACCCTTACCATACCACATTCATTGCTCTGAGTTGGGCTTGTTCCTTCCCCAGAACTCCTGAGTTTCATGAGCTCTCTTAAAAGTTTTCTAGGATTCTACGTAAGCTTAAGAGGGTCCTTAAGTAATACCTGATTCTGTGATGCAACATAATGATACGCCCCTCACCATTCCTGTGCTCTTACAAGTTCTTCTTTATAAGTGTATAATTTTACTTTTGACTGTTCTATATTTTAAAAAGTGTTAAGGTAATTATGAATAACTTTCACACATGCAAATCTTTTAAATCTCAAGATGAGATCTGCATGATATTTAAGTGTCTTGATTTGAAAGAGGCAGTGACCATTCCAGACACAAAACAGCAACAAAAAAACCCCAAAAAAAACCCCAACCCAGATATGGCATAAAAACCATTCCCAAGACATACAGCATTTATTTAAAAATGCCTACTTATGCATATGACCATTGGTTTTAAAAAGTAATTATCAAAAGCTCATTTCATATGGGCTCCATTCTCTTTTCCCCTCATGGATGATTTGTATGTACCTCCATGTTTCCATTATAAAATTGCTGGAGGGATATTGCTACCAATGATTTATATGTCTGGTACACTTCAGTATTTTTGGTCTTTCTTCTAAAATAGCTGAAGAAGTTTAAACTGAAGCTTATAAATCACTGTGTGGTAAATTAAGTAAAGCTTTAAATAAAGAGATTGTGTCAAAATGAGCTGAGACTTCTTTTTCATAATCATAACCATTAAACTTGGCTGTGGAAGAACAGTCTTGCATGAATTAGGACAAATAAGTCCAATAGGAAGATCAGGGGTTATGGGGAAGATGTTTCACTGCTTTGGAATCTAGAGCATCCCCCTCCAGTCCACCTTTTGGGGTGTATTGGCCCTGCAAGTCCTCACTGGTCAGCATGAAACTGCAGTCATTGATCCCTCAATTCTAAAATGCTGCATTGATTTAGGACTTATCTCTGCCTTGGAGGAAAGAGGAGGCTGCAGGTGTTTTTCTGTTGCTGAGAGTGGCAGAATGCTGCTCAGGACAGCTGGATAGGAAGGTTTTAAGTCCTTTAATGTTCTGATTTTAGGGTGTTTGAGCCTTGAACAAGTTACCTCGAGTAACAGGAGCAGGTCTGTGAGCTGCCCCTTGCCTGGTGGGGCTTGAAAAAGAGATTCTCAAGGCAGGTAGAAACCTATTTCTGCTGCAATAGCTGTTCATGTGAAGAGTGAATGGTATAAGAGGAGTACCAGATTTGATTCATTTGAATATTTGATTCATTTGAATTCAGGAGCAGTGTTAAGTTTTAGGCAGATCAGGAAAAAAAAAAAAAAAAAGAAAACAACCAAAAAACGTTTAGAAAATAAATGAGAACTGGTGTACATTTCTCTATGGTTGTGCCAGAAAATACACAGAACACTAATTCCTCAGTAGTCCAGCTATTAGACATCATAGCCTTACTCATAACAAAATCTGATCAGTCTGTTAAGAATAAAACGCAGTGTTTGTGATGACTTGTTGTTATTTCTCTCATTTACAAATAGTATGCTTGTCAGTCCTCTCTGCTATAAAGTAAAAGTTGTGAATGGCATGACTGTGTGGAATTAACTGTTGACTTCAAAAAAATATTTGAAATAAACCTGAAAGTACTATGAACTTACTTCACTACTGCTGGAGCTCTGGTATTATCATTGTCATGACTGAAAGTCACAACTGGACTTCTGTTTTTCTACATTTCTCGATTAAAAAGAAGTACATGAAGCCAAACAACTTGAAATAATTGTTATCCCATTTGGAAGAAGAGTTTCCTAGTGATGAAGCAAGATTCAGTCCTGCTGCAATTGTGACCTCTAGTGGAAAAAACCAGTTTGTTATCAATGATAATGCAGTGAATTGCAAAGTAATTCAGTGTTGCAATATTCATTATGTTTGATGTTGCAGCATTTCCAGGACTCATTAATGGTACAATCCCTTCAAGGCACCGTATTATCTACATTAAAAATACAATTTATTCCTGAGAAAGCTTCTGTTAAGTCTCAGCATGATTTTATAAAAGCTGATTTTTATAGAAACATGGTCTCAGGCTTTCAGGAAGAGGATTTGAAACACGTTCAATTGCAGAAGCAGAAATTGCTTGGAGAACGTTGCCTTGTCACAAGCCTTGTTGTTATCCCACAACAGTATAATATAAATGCAGTATTACTTGTGTGCAAATCTGTTGGGATGTTTCTAAATACCAGCTCTGGGAGCCATTGTAAGGAAAGATTTATCATGCCATTAAACAAGGCAAGAAGATTTGGAAAATATAATCGAGGAAAGCAGTCTGAACACGAAGCACATGGTACAGCAAACAAGAACTGCATTTGGTATTTTTCATATTTGGAATAATAATATCTTGAATAATTTCCACTGGCTAGTACCTAATGCTAATAAAGATGATTGTAAAGGTCACTGTAATTCAACTATATCATTACCAGCTGCAGACAATTTATTAAAACCTCTGAGTCCACTGTGTTTAAGACCCCCAGACCTGTTTCAAATATTCTTGTAAGATGTTTTTTTTGTTTGAATGTATATGGTGCATGCCTCTGCAACCAAGTGATCAATTCCATAAAAGAGGTCTTAAGGAAAGGGGCACATTCTGGTCAAAGGACAGAAGCATTTACTTACATTGCCGTCTCTACTCCCTTCTGAATTCAGCAATAGCCTTTGGATTCATGTCTTCTTAGTAGCATAAGGTCCCATCTTGGTGATTAAAGGTTGAATTGTTTCTTTTGGGGTCTGAGTAAGTGTGGTTTGAGATGTGATACGAGTTTGCAGTGTCTAGGTTGTTAAAGTTGTTCTACTCTTAGCATTCCAAGGGTTAACACAAATGAGTTATATTGTAATCAATTCTAAAAGCTTTAGTTTCACATCCTCTATTCTAAGTCTGAATTCAGAGCAGTTTGTTAAGCATGTGTCACAACATTCAGTACCATTTTGGATGGGTTTCATAGGTCTCTGATGGAATCCATCCTGAACAATTGCAAATTTGCATCCCCAGACATCTCTCTCTGTCCAGACAGTTGCATTTGTGAATTTTAACACCTGCCACTGAGACTTATGAGAGTTAAAGTCAGAAGCTTTTCCCTGAGAAATACAGATGCCAGTCACATTGTGCATGGAAGGCCTTGTCCTGAGGTCTGTTGTAGCCATGACTACGATCTCCACAGCCACAGCTTTCCAGCTTGCACCTGCTTGATCTTATATGGTGACTCTGGAGCTTTCTTAATCGTGATGTATCCATGCCACTTGTTCTCTGATCTTGATGGTGGTGAAGGAGGTGAGAAGCACCTGGAATGGTCCTTCCCACTGTGGTTCCAAAGTCTTTTCTGCAAGAGACTTTACATAGACATAATCTCCAGGTTGCACATTGTGTACTGGCCCATCCAGCCCCCTACACTGTGTTCCTAATACATGTTTCCTAATATTTTGAGTTATTTCCCTAGGGCCACCATATATTCTGTTATAGTTTCTTCCCCCACTTGTGCTGATGTTCCCTTCTATGGCCTATTCTGACCTATTCCCTTCTATTCTGACCTATTGCATAAGGTCACCCATGTAGGATCCCAAAGGGACTCAGTTTTTCCTTTGCCCTTGGCTTCATTTGCCTGTGTAAAAGAGCTAAAGGAAATGATTGAGGCCAATGCAGATTGACCTCCTGTCCTAATTTCACAATTTGCTGTTTGATTAAATGATTCATCTTCTCCACTCTGAAAAATCAATTTGTCATTGTTAGCTAGGTCCATTCCTTCTCCCAATTTCTGGCTTTGGGGTATTTTTGGGATTAGTCTGGAGGCAGAGATCCCGTTGTCGGGTTACCTGCCTTACTGTAATGTATAAATTTCTAATTATGATGTCCTGAGTCAGGTGCTTATACAGGGTCTCTGCTCCCCAGTGCCTCTTCCTATGTTCCTCCCTTACTACTGAAACACATTCAATTGCAGAAGCAGAAACTGCTTGGAGAACGTTGCCTTGTCACAAGTCTTGTTGTTATCCCAAAACAATATAATATAAATGCAGTATTACTTGTGTGCAAATCTGTTGAGATGTTTCTAGATACCAGCTCTGGGAGCCATTGTAAGAAAAGATTTATCATGCCATTAAACAAGGCAAGAAGATTTGGAAAATATAATCAAGGAAAACAGTCTGAACATGAAGCACATGGTACAGCAAACAAGAACTGCATTTGGTATTTTTCATATTTGGATGAAGACAAACCTATTTATAATCTTAAATTATCAACATGTAGGCTGTAGACTTTCTTTAATCTTCAAATAAATGCCTATTGTCCTTGTATTTCTCACTGATGCATTTCTCTACATTTGTATTTCCAGCTTCTGCAAACCAACAAGCAACTGCTGGATACAGACAGCAGCTTGTGTAGCTTTGAAATAGTTTTGACTTTTGGCTAAATGTAGTAAAAATAAGGTGTCTTGTGTACTTGTGGGATTGTCTTTGTTCTATTTTGGGGTTTTTTTTACAGTTTGAGTATGAAAGAATGTACCTGATAAATCATAGCTATGATTTATATGTTATGTGGCAGAAATCCTATCACCTAAAATATTTATTACATTTTGTTGATGACCTGCTCATGACAATATCCTGCAGTGTTCACGAAAGCAAGCATTGGCAGGCACTGAAAGGATGGGAGGGACAACCTGTCACATCCATAGCACCTGAGTCACTGAAGTTTCCCAAAACCCCAAAGAGCCATCATCTTCCCCCAGTGTGGGAGTTTGGAAACTGCTTTGGGGCTTTAATGAGGAACTTCCAAGTGTAGCAGGAAAAGGAGAGCGTTCCCTAGGGAATTGCAGCATTGAATTGTGCTGCCCCATAATGATAAGTATGAAAAGAGGTTTGTATGCTGGGACTGATTGAAGTCTCTTTCTTCTTATTTTCAGGGTATGAACATAATCTTCCATGTGGCTCTGGCTCTTTTAAAGGTAAGTAATTTTTTTTTTTTTAATTTATTTTGTTTTATTAAACTAAAATACTGAATATCTTAATTATCTTAATATCATGTCTAAAGGAACAATAATAGTGGGACCTCTGGAGAAGGGAATGAGGGAGAAATATCCATTTGGGTAAAGGTGTCTTCAAAATTGTACTCATAACAGATATGTTTTTATTAAACTTAATCGTATGCTAAAGCTTGTGTAACAAGGGATGCAATCTAAAGATTTAAATGTCTCATGTAATTACTGTTAAGAAAACAATTCAGATTCATCTCACAGCATATCTGTTTTGTGTCTGGGTTCTTTTGTATAAAACGTGATTGACTGGTATCAAATGTGTTTGTGATATTGAGAGAGGAATAGAAATCTCTAATACAGGGAACTTCTGTCCTTGGCCTGGCTACAAAATTTACCTAAACAAGTAAACCTGTAGGTAAAGCACTGGATGCAGTGAGATGAACTCAGAATTAACTTACACACCTTCTACCAGTTGGCTCTAGTTCAAATCCAGCCCACATGCAAGCACATAGTTTGGAATTTGAAATGCCACCTTTGAGTTCAGATGAAATTCCCAGAAATAACTTAGGCCGAAGCTCAGCTTGTCACTCCTAACACACCCACCCCATAATGGGGATGCAGACTAGAACCACTGGATTGTTGCTGGTCTTCCAGTGGGATTTCCTTGTAATTTTCCTAGAAAAAGCAAACAGCTACTTACTGAATTATTCAGCAATGAGCAATTCTCAGATTCAGTGTCTATGGCACAAAGTCCTATGGCAGAAGTGCTCCCCACCAGGAATATACAACTATATGCTGCTGTGAACAGAGCAGTTTGAAATTTTCAAACATGTATATTTTCACAGAATCACAGCATCTCCTGAGTTGGAAGGGACCCAAAGGGTCATTGAGTCAAACTTGAGGGCAGGTGACTTCAGTGAAGTACTGCAGTGTAGACAGGAGATAGTGCATATCCCTACGGTGAGGAAATGTCACAAATAACTTGTGTTTTACACAGCTGATGTGGAAAACGGGGTTGTGACTCTACTTGAGTGCATTTATTTAATGAAGACTCCTATAAACAGGAAATTGGTTTAATATATCTTTCCAGGGAAGTGCTCCTACACAAATCTAAATTTGTAAAAAGGAGGGAGGGAAATGTGTGCTCTTTTCTTCATGTTTCATGTTTTATTTGCAACTGTGTGGGCTTGTTAATATTCCAGTTTTCGAGGCCAGTATGAATAATGGGAAATCTGGTAAGTTATGGCATGATAATGAGGAAAGGAAAGGAAGAACCCAGCTAACACCCAGCAGGTTTGCTGCAGTCATAGTAGGAACAAGTTCTGGGAAGAGGCAGCGGCACCAACTAACAGATCCTAAAACTAAAGAAGAAAGAAGAGTACTTGAACAGAGGTGAAGATGGCTAACAGGGTTTTCAGGGATGGAGAACTTAGTTCAATGTTGTTATGAAGGATGGCTTTGGGATCACCTGCTTTACATTTCCTGGTGCTGTGAGAGGGAAGGGTTGAACCAAAGTTAGCAGCGGAACAACTGTTTAGAAAATATAACTTTGGAAAGAATTCATGGGTGTCATACAGTAAATAAGGATTTTTTTTTTCCTGCTGAATAATTAGCCCTGTTTCTTTTAACCACAGGTGTTCAATCTTTTCATTTTATATAAACCCCATGACATGCTGCTTCTCCAATTGAACTTTTCTATTTGGATATTCCAGAGCAAAATTTAATAATGTAATTTGTCACTCTTATTTATGACTATTTTCTAAGTTTAAGAGTTGGGTTTAATTCTGCTTGTAGCAGTTGTAGCAGTTCTTCTTGCATGTGTATGCTATAGCTGCCTGTTCTAGCAGTAATAAACACTAAATAAATGGTAAAGGAGGTTTTATTCTGAGAAAGTATTTCTATAGTGCAGCCAAAAACAAGTACAAAGAAAATCAGGGTAAAAAAAGATAAGCTTCTAAGTCAGAAACACTCACCTAAGAGCACAGTTCCACAGTGGCATGGAGATGGAGCTGGTGCTTACATACAATTGGATTAGCATTATAATTTGCTTTCAGCAAAAAAAATCTCTTCTGTTAGGGAAGAGAATAGTTGAGAACTGAAGTAATTTTTTTCCTATTCAAATGTGTTCTTAATCTCTCTTAATCATTAGGAGCAAAGTGGTTTAGTATAATGCTCTTTTCTAGTTAGAGAACCTGAAAATGCTGCAGAAAAACTGCCTTAAAAACTGTGTTTGAGAATTCTTGTTTGTCTCTGATTCTGGAGTGAATGAAAACAACTCCTAAGGATTTGTTCTTTGTTAAAACAGAGTAATTATTCTCTCATCCAGAACCTCTTGGATTATTTGATGTTTGGGTAAGGGAATCCCTCATCAGTGGAATACTGGAGCCTTTACATTTTTGTGTAAATGCCGTTTTCCTTGCATATAGTGAAGTGTGTGCATCCAGATCCCTCACTAAATGGCAGTGGAAGAGAAGCTTTTATCTGTAACTCTCCTGTACTCAGTGCTGTGTCTCACGGCTCCAGCTGCTGGTGCTCACAGAGAATGCTTGTTAGTTTGGAAATGACAGCGCTACTTCTGTGACCAATTGCCTGAGACATCTTGGTGCAGTCATCCTCGGAAAAGAAACATTTCAGACACGCAGGAATCCTTCCTCTTTCCTTCTCCCACATTCTGAGTATGCTTGTAGCAATGAACAGCTAGAGGATTAAAGTTCTTTAGCTGTGAAAAGCCATCATTTGTGTATTAATCTGATTTCTTTTCAAAGGAAAACATGGCGGTTTTTTCTGTAGCATCCAAATGTTGGGCTTCACAGCCTGCTCAGGGTCCCCAGCTGGTGGCACTGTTTTACACTGGGAGTCGTTGACTTTTATCATGTAGAGACTGCATCTGAATTACCAGTCAGGAACCTGAACTGGTAGAAATCCTAATTCCTCACCTCTCACTTTCTGAGCAGTGGAAAATGCAGTGAAGCACTGGTGTGTGAAGAGAACCCAAAAGTGGAAAAAGACTGCATAAATATCTGTGGTTTAAAAGAACCCAACAAACAGCATTGGTATTTTAATTTTAAAAATCACAATTAAGATTATTAAAGAGAACGATGGAGGAAAATTTACCCTTCTAGTGCCAGCACACTTCCTAATCCCATGTGTCATCAACTGGTTTGTTTCTTTGCTGGTAATTAAAAGCATTAAAATCCTCACATAAGCTAAGAAAAATAACTAAATTGTAAGCTTTCTCTCCTATTTTAGTATTTTATGGAATCATAGAATGTCCTGAGCTGGAAGGGACCCCCAAGAACCCTCAAAGTCCAACTCCTGTCCCTGCACAGACACCCCAGCAATCCCACCGTGTGCATCCCTGGGAGCATTGTCCAAACTCTCCTGGAGCTCTTGCAGCCTTGGGGCCCGTGTCCATTCCCTGGGGAGCCTGGGCAGTGCCCACCACCCCCTGGGGGAGGAACCTTTCCCCGATCTCCAGCCTGGCCCTGCCCTGGAACAACTCCAGCCATTCCCTGGGTCCTATCACTGGTCACCAGAGGGATTTCGCTGATTAATTCTTACATCTTGTTTATGATCTTAGAACTTGGCAAAAGTAGCTAAAGGCAAACTACTTTGGGATTAGCAAACTGAGGCAAGAATTAAAATACATGACTGTGTAGAATTCAGGCTCTAGATTTACCACTGTTGCAGCTGCTAATTCCTGAAAAGGCAGGAAAGAGCACATGATCACTGAAAATATAAGAGTGAACCAGAAGCTTTAAATGGTGCATGTTCAAACCTTAATTTTTTAGGGTTCATCTACTCACAGGGTGTGTGATCCACAACACAAGCTCAGCACTTGGCTTACTGAGTTTTAATCTGTGTGACTGTTAAAAAAGGTGTTGTTTAATGCTAGAGGAGAGCCTAAGTTATGATCAGGAAGGTTTATAATACTGAAAAGAAAATGGGTAGAAAATAGTGAGAAACGTTTTTGTTACTGCTTGTGTTTTCCAGCCAGTGCTTTGTTATCTTATGGAGATTTACTTGGGTCCCTATAATATCTTAAGCCCTGTACTTTCCTACGTCATTCCTTGAACTCAGGTCAAGGTGAGCAGCATTTCTAATGGGGCTTGTGAGTTCTGACACTCCTCTCTGCATGTGAGCAGGAGATACCTGAGTATTACATGAACAGGACAGCTGTGTTTCTTGGTTATTTCTGCTGGCACCTTTTGGTCTCAAAATTCTTTGTGTCAGTCAGTGTCCCAGACATCAGGGAGCAGTATCCCAATTGCAATGGCAGGGATGGCAGGTTTAGATTTTAAAATGTGTCAAAATTACCCTGTATAAGGAGGGTTCTTTATTACCTTTATTTCATTCTGCATCTGGACTGAAAAGGACCTCCTGGGCTGAAGAACTGTTTCTCTGCTCTATTGTGCCATTATCTGACACAGCATCCATTTCTGAACTTGTACCAGCAGCTTTCAGAATTGCTGGTGGAAGGCCATTTCTCTTAGTCCTGATAAAATTTATTACTGGTTGTTTTACCCTCAGCTGTTCTTACATCAGCATTGTCCTTCAACTTAAACAGTCCCCTTCCATCAGCACTCACATTTGCTTTTATCACCTTGAAGTGTTTATAGATACCATTCACATTGTTTATTAAATAACCCAATATTCTCAGTGTTGTTTAACTCCAGGGCATCTTAGCCATTCTCTTCTGCATCACCTCCAGAGGTGACTGGATCTTTAAGAGAGGTCACATTATGTTTTCTGTATTCATGTTGTATTTTCTTATTTCTAAAGAATCTATTTGTTCTGATAACTCTTGAGGACTGTGTTGTGCTCTTATGATTGTATAAAATATTATTCCTGACTAACCAGAGGATTCCACAAATACGATTTCCCCACCTTAGGACGGAATTTGTGTTAAGAGCACAAATTTTGAATAAAATTGTGCTGTACTTCTGTATACACTTACATTTCAATTCTTG